TTTTTAAAAAATTATGTTTTTCCAGGTTCATATGAACTCCGCAGAACACTACCTCAAAAAACCAAGAAAATGAAAAGTGAACTAACTATAATTAGGTGCTAATTAGGTGCTAATTAAGTGCCCTATCCCCGAATTAAATGCTCCTTTTTTTTAGTTCTGCTAGGTTCATATGAACTCAGCAGAGCACTACCTCAAAAAACAAAGAAAATGAAAAGTGAACTAACTATAATTAGGTGCTAATTAAGTGCCCTATCCCCGAATTAAATGCTCCTTTTTTTTAAAACTTATTACATGTTTTGCCAGGTTCATATGGACTCAGCAGAACACTACCTCAAAAAACAAAGAAAATGAAAAGTGAACTAACTATAATTAGGTGCTAATTATGTGCCCTATTCCCGAATTAAATGCTCCTCTTTTTTAAAACTTATTACATGTTTTGCTAGGTTCATATGAACTCAGCAGAACACTACCTCAAAAAACAAAGAAAATGAAAAGTGAACTAACTATAATTAGGTGCTAAAGTTGACGTGCTTGAATTGGTATAATAAATTGAAATCTAAATAGTTCTACGTACCCCTAAAATACCAATTATATTCGGCCTCGTTTCGTAAATAAAATTGTAGTACCTCTGCTTTCCGTTAGAAAAACCACACTTTAAAGCGAAACAAGTAGGCTCCGCATGTTTACCCGTTGTCAAGCCAACAACGCCTCAGTCTTTGTTTTTGTGTTGGTTTAACTACACGCGTCGTTTTTTAGTGCGTTCTTTTTACTTGGTATTATGCCGAAACATTTAAAGAAACGCAGCCCTTCTCCAGATGCGTTGCACGTCTTTGGAAGTTTGCTTAAGAAAATTGATCGACGACTAGAAAAGGTTGAGAGAAAACAAAGAAGACGCCGGCGGAAATCACCGTCTCCGTATCCTTCTGATAGCGAATGTAGCCAGTCACCTTTTTCGCCGTCAAGAGTACGTGAAGGATTGTCACGTTTATCTTCTCCTGGCCCTTCTGGTGTTAATGAGGAAGTAGCAGATACAGAATTGTTGAACTGCTCAGCCGGGATAGAAAATTTTACACACAATGGTAGTAAGTTGGAATGCGTTTTCTTTTTACAACTGTCAGTGAGAACAGTTAGTTCGCCGAGAGGTGAACGTGCTTAGTGTGGCACTTATTGGCTTTATTGCCTTCCTTTAACTGTCAGTGAGTACAGTTAGTTCACCGAGTGAGGTGAACGTGCCTTGTGTGGCACTGGTCGGCTGTTTTGCCTTCCTTTAACTGTCAGTGAGTACAGTTAGTTCGCCGAGTGAGGTGAACGTGCCTAGTGAGGCACTGGTCGGCTTTTTTGCCTTCCTTTAACTGTCAGTGAGTACAGTTAGTTCGCCGAGTGAGGTGAACCTGTTTTATTTCGCCTTTGTTAATTTTTTAACATAGGTACCTACCTAGTGTGGTAGAGTTCTTGTGCCTAGAGCAACACTAATTGGGTCTTTACCCTAGAAGACCGACTGAAAATTCAGTTATGTCTTTGTTATATTGGTTTTTATAATTTAATACGGTCATACCCATTCCAAACTTTTAAAGTTTTTGGTTGTGTAAGGCCGGGGGTTTTGAATTGTTGCTTATATTTATCTGGCGTTGCAGATGAAACAATTCAGGAGCTTCGTGAAGACGAGTCTGAGGACGTGCTTCCGCCAGCTATTTTAACTTTGTTAGGTGAAGATGACATTATGGAAAAAGGTTTTTCCGATTCAATCCATCCGGACTTGGCTTCTCGCTGGACAAAATTGTTAAAATTAGGGTTGTCAGAAGACATAAAAACAAATTTAATTAAAAAGTATCTTCCACCGAAAAACTGCCCAGATTTGTTACCTCCAAAAATTAACCCGGAGGTAAAAGTTGCGGTGCAAGACGGTACATTTCGGAGAGACATACGATTGAGTCAACTTCAATCGCAGTTAAGTGCTGCGATTTCTGGTGTTGGTTGTGTTGTCACAAATTTAATTAAGGAAGGAAGCGGAGAACACATATCGTACATCGAAGTTTTGAACGATGTAGGACGTTTGCTGAGTGACATCTACCACACCGAGTCGATATCGCGTAGGGACCTGATCGCACTCAATTTAAATAAGGATTTACGGGATACCTTAAAAAACACTTGCATAACCGAGTGGTTATTTGGAAGTGAATTAGACAGTAGCATAAAAGCCGCAAAAGATTTGGAAAAATCTGCAAATCAATTAAAGGTACCTAAGAAGCGTACATTTTCTGGACCGTCTTTACCTTCGAAACAGGGAAACGCAAAACGTCCGTTGTTGCAGAAGAAGGGAGTGCAACAATTGAGACAAAGTTACCGAACTCCCTACACCCAAACCAGAGCACCAGCGTACACTCCCCTGAAGAGGCAGGAACGTTACAAACATTTCCAATCCAAACAAGGACAGAGGGATCGTTAGAGGTTAGTAGTCCTTGTGGAAGACTCAGACAGTTTGCGTTTAGATGGAGTGCGTTATGTATTGACAATAGGATAGTGTCTTATATCAAGGGATTTTATATTCCCTTTCATACAAAACCAAGTCAACTTGGTGTACCTGTAGAACCAAAATGGTCACAAAAAGAATCCAAAATTGTAAATAATATAATCCAAGATCTGTTGCTTAGGAGGGCTATCAGTATAGTTGAGCCGAGGGAAGGTCAATATATATCAAACATTTTTCTTGTACCTAAGCCAGATGGATCTAATCGATTGATTTTGAATTTAAAACATCTTAATAATTTTATTACTGTTGATCATTTTAAGATTGAGGGTTACACTACTGTTGCTCGATTAATTAGGCCAGATATCTTTATGTGCACTGTCGATCTAAAAGATGCTTATTATCTAATACCCATTCACCCCTGCCATAGAAAATATTTACGTTTTTGCTTCAATGGCAAGTTATACGAATGGAATTGTCTACCTTTCGGGCTGAGCTGTGCACCGTGGGTATTCACAAAAATTTTAAAACCCGTTGTAAGTCTGCTTAGAGAGAAAGGTTTACTTTCCGTTGTTTATCTAGATGATTTTCTCCTGTTAGGGAGAACACGATCCGAGTGTATTAGCAACGTAACGGAAACAGTAAAACTACTTGAATGTTTAGGTTTTATAGTGAATTACAAGAAAAGTAACCTTATACCAAACCAGACTTGCAAATATTTAGGTTTTGTGTATAATTCCAGAACAATGTCTTTATCCCTACCATCTGATAAACGCCTTAAATTGATTAAGCTTGCCAATCAATTCATTACTGTACAAGAATGTAAGATTCGAGAATTCTCAAAATTTATTGGATCTCTGGTGTCGGCAGCCCCAGCTATAAAATATGGATTCCTATATACAAAATTGTTTGAACAAAAAAAATATCGAGCTCTACGGCATTCTGGGGGAAACTATGAGGCTAAGATGACTCTAGATTCCTTCTTACATTCAGATATCTCTTGGTGGATCAGTAAACTGGCGGTTTCATGTAATCCTATTCGTTCTGACACTTTCGATATAGAATTGTTTACTGATGCATCGAAGACCGGTTGGGGAGCATACTGTAATGGTAACACCTCTTTTGGTTTTTGGTCCAATTCAGAGAAAGAAAATCACATTAATGAACTCGAGCTCTTAGCAGTCTTATTTGGGTTAAAATGTTTTGCTCGAGGTTGTCATAATTGCAATATTTTATGTCGGGTGGACAACACGACTGCCATTGGTACAATTAATCGTATGGGAAGTGTGAGGTTTCAAAACCTTAACAAGATTGCTCGACTCATTTGGGGTTGGTGTGAAGAACGAAATATTTACATTTTTGCATCTTACATATCGTCAAGCGAGAATTTTTTTGCGGATAAAGCTTCTCGACAGGAACACCAGGAGACAGAATGGTCTCTAGAAAATTCTGCTTTTCAAAAAGTGTTGAAAAGATTTGGTGTCCCAGATATAGATTTATTTGCTAGTCGGTTGAATAGAAAATGCAAGACATTCGTGTCTTGGAAAAGAGATCCAGAAGCTTTCAGGGTAGATGCCTTTACTCTAAATTGGAGCGTTTTTTCCTTTTATGCATTCCCTCCCTTTACTTTAATGCTGAGGACTCTTCAAAAAATTATTAAAGATCATGCAGAAGGGGTGGTTGTAGCCCCTTACTGGGTATCTCAGCCGTGGTACCCTGTGTTTTTATCGTTACTAACGGAAGAACCGTTAATACTTGAACCTTCTGACCGATTACCTTCTTTTAGCGGGATACCACATCCGATGGCAAAACACCTTTCCCTGGTGGTAGGGAAGTTATCCGGAAAGCTCTTCAACTAAAAACATACCGGAAAACACAATAGAAATCTGCTTGGCTTCCATTACAGCTTCGACGCTTAAGCAATATAACAGTGGATTAAGACTGTGGTGGACATTTTGTAATACACGGTTAGTTAATCCGTTTTGTGTCACTATTCCAGCCTTGCTAGATTTTTTGACTTGTCAATTTAATATAGGTGTTTCGTTTGGTTCCTTGAATTCGTATAGAAGTGCAATTGCACAAATAGCAGGACCAGAAATTGCGTCTGATTTTCGTGTAAAGAGATTTTTTAAAGGTGTTTTTAGTCTGAGACCACCGAGGCCTAGATATGAAAATGTATGGGACCCGGACATAGCCTTGGGTTATGCAAGGGCTCTCAATAATAAAACTCTTTCTCTGCCATGTTTAACGAAAAAACTGGTACTGTTATTAGCTCTTGCTACAGGTCAAAGGATTCAAACTCTGTCCTTAATTAATATTGATAACATTGTTGTTCTTAATGACAAGGTTGAGATTAGAATCCCTAATAGGATAAAGACTTCAGGTGTAAATAAATTGCAACCATTATTAGTTTTGCCCTTTTATAAAACGGATCCAAACCTATGTGTGGCAGGGGTATTGTTAGAGTATCTGAAAAGGACCAAGGAAGATAGAGGTCAATGCATGTCTCTCTTTATCACCAATAAGAAGCCTCATCGTCGGGCTTCAACTCAGACTATAGGTAGATGGATAGGTCAAGCCTTAAAAGATTGTGGTTTAGATACATCCCAATTTAAACCGCAAAGCACGAGGCATGCATCGACTTCGAAAGCAGCCAGGTCCGGAGTAAGCTATGATACCATCAGACTTGCTGCTGGATGGTCATCAAAATCTAATACCTTTGCACGATTTTATAACAGGCCTGTGCAGGACAATACTGTTTTTGCTAGAGCGGTATTAAATATAGCTTAAAATTGTGTTACTGGAATTGTTCTATAAATGTTTTCTGTATTTTAGAGATAAAATCAGATATTGTTTTTCTTCGAAAACATCGTGTATTATAATAAAGTTGTTGCAAAATCTTTAAACATCTACAATTTTATTTACGAAACGAGGCCGAATATAATTACAAGATCAAACGAACTTACCTTAAGTGATGTTCGATCTTGATTATATGAAGGCCTCGTTGAAGTAAATAGTCCCAT